CCACCACAGATTTGTTGTAACAGTCTTCTTGTGTACATAGAGGTGCAGTATGTTAAGATTCAGCTAGAAAACTGTATGTTCTATTAGACTGCCTGCTTTGTAGCATCTTTTACCTCCTTGGGGCCTATGGACTGAACCAATAAGTCATGATTTTAGCCTGGAGACACAGAGCAGTTGCTGCTTAAAATAGATTTAAGAGCCCCAGTGGGTGAAATGATGACAAATAAACACATTTTGGCGATTCAAGGAAGAAATATGATCCCTATGGCCTTTATTAGGTATACTGCTAGCAGAAAATCCTGCTTCGTTAAGTCTAAGAATGGCTGTAAGTCTTTTTCCTTGTGTTTGAGGTTGATTTATTATTCAATGCAGCTTCAACATCTCTTGTGCATGGTATGTAAATGCAAATTATAACTGATTGGAGATGGACTTACTGTCCATATATAATGCAAACAAATACACTGCAGAAGGCTTACATCACCATAATTATTTATTATTTATACTGCATGTATGTGTTTATATATGTATATACATTTGTATCGTTAAAAAACAACTCTAGGTCACCATATTTTAAAGAAACTTTTTTGTGTGTGCCTTTATTTCAAATTCAAGAATTGTGGTTTTCCTTTTTATATTTTTGTTTTTATTTTTTTCTTCTTTATTTAGTATGTTTAATTATTGAAAATAACACATTTAAAATGTTAGGTGTATTGGCAGGTGGATATAAGCAGACGTGTGTCACATCTTTTTACCTTTGATTCATCACATTTAGGTCCAAAAAAATGGAAAAAGATTCAAACCTTTTTGCTTTTTTTCAGACCTAGAAAGACTCGGAAGTATTTGGATGCAAAGGGGCGCACGTCCATGTACATCTATCTGCCCATAGGCAAAGACTGAGCTTCTGTTCAAATTCGCCTGAAAAACAGGTAGATCTTGTGGGACCTCCAGCTTAAAAGGATGTTAAAGTGTTTGTATATTCTAAACAAGCAGTAAAAGAACTAATAAACACCTCTGTATCTATAAGCATTATGAAGAAATTATTTTTTTTAAATATGACTGCAGATCTTGGCAGTCTTCCAGTCCTTTTAATGTAAACAAACAGCAGGTGTTCCTGAATTGTAATGGGCTGAAACTTGACTTCAAAGTCTTTGTTGTGATCTTTGAGGATCTTTGAGAATGAAATAAGTTCATATTAAAACCAGATTGGTGAGAGAGCTTGTTTTAAATTTAATTTCTGCTAGTTAAATCTGAACTCTAGGTACAAAAACACTTTACCTCAAATGCAGTATATTCAGACAGAGAATTTAAATCCACTTTGTGTGCACAAAATTTCTTTGCAAACACAGTTACCTTAGCATCAGTAGCATCGACTTACATCATCACTGGGCTGTACATAGCCTGTGCAGAAAGCAAAGCTGTGGGAAGGACACAGCAGGCCCCACCTACAACAGGTAGGGGTGGGGACAAGACCAGTCACCCCGCACAAGGAGAGAGAGCAGCAGTGACCGGTCTTTTTTACGGCCACTGCACAGAGCTGAAGTTTACACACTTTCTGCACAGATCTGGAAAAGAAATACACAAAGCACACTGAGTAAAGTAAAAATACACACGACTCTTGCATTTAGACAGTCATTACTGGCTTAGGCCCCGTTAACAACTGGCATTTTGGGATCTCAGGCAGAATCGTTGTAATTCTGCCTGTGATCTCAAATCGCACTGCCAAGTGGCAAAAAATGCACCACGTATGTTCAGATAGAATTCATTTTTAATTTCACCAAAAATGCGCGGTGCAGTTCTGCTGCGATTGTCATGTAATAAGTCTCACTGCAATTGCAGCAAATTACATTGCGCAAAGCTTGTCACCCAGAAAAGGGCAGGAGCCTCTTTTGGGTGCGACAAGTTTCATGTGAGGTTGTTTTCCACAATTGCAATGCAATTTATTACAATGCAAATGTGGCAGAACTACACTGCATTTAGGTGCCATTAAAAATGAATGACGTGTTGCGTTTTGCCACTATTGCAGTGCGATTCTTAGATTGCTGGCAGAATTACAGCAATTCTGTCTGAGATCCCAAAATGCCAGATCTGAACAGGGCCTAAGCTGAAGTCTGGGATAAGTAATTATTGTCTAAATGCAAGAGTTGTGTATATTCTTTCTTTATTCTTGATCACCCATCAGAGGGGTGAGGGTCTTTATAGAGCATATGTATGCACGTATTTAGTTTAACTATCATATTTTTTTATTTTCATTTTTTGATCGCTTTTCAGAGATGTGAAAGTCTTTATAGTGCTCATAAAGGTATAGGGGTTCACTTAGCGCAGTATCCATTTGAATGAGATCCCAAAAAGCCAGATGTGAAAGGGGCCTTAAAGAATATTAAATAATTGATTTTGTCTGTTACATTGGTACAATCTACCTACTGTAACTATGCACCTGAAACCTAAAATATATTATAAGTATAATCAGCTTGAACATCCATACTGGAATTTTTTAACTGTGTTCACATACAGTGTGCAGGCGCTTTTTTCACCTGAATCTAAAGGTCTATTTCTACTTTTCATCTAGCACCTGCAAACTGTGTGAAAATGTGTTCACACATTAAAGAATAAATATACTTTTAGCTGCTTTAATATTTTCAGGTATAGTGTGCAAAAATAACCTTCTCCTTTATTATTTTCTAATTTTTTTCAGTCTTTTGCTTTGAGAGGTGACATCAAGGGTGCAGCTAATTCAGCAATACAGACATTATGGGCTACAATAAGGAAATGTATATGCAAGAATGCATTGATGCTTACAGACTGTCATTTTTATCCATATGTAAAATATCATCATGATATAATCATGACTAATATCTACAAATAGTGAGTATAGTGAAAGTTATTAGTTACCATGAAGTAAAGCATTATTGTGGTTTGTCACAGATACAATGGTCCTCCATATTCCACAGCACAGCACAACGTAGGTTTCTCATAGTTGGAATGAGTCAGCTAACAAGGTGATTTTAATCCAAAAGTGAAGCAGATTTTTAGCCATAGAGTATCACCCATAGCAGTTATATAGACTCCTTGGTGCTCTGCAGGGTAGTGGGAATGGGTTTGATTTACTAAAACTGAAGAGTGCAAAATTTGGTGCCAATCAGCTTCCAGTTTTTTGTCAAAGCTTAATTGAACAAGCTGAAGTTAGAAGCTGATTGGTTGCCATGCACAGCTGCTCCAGATTTTGCACTCTCCAATTTTAAAATCAACCCCACTTGCACAGAAGCAGCTAGGTCCATAAATATATGCACCACACATCACCGACATCATAAAACATGTACATAAATCAATTGTTCTAGGTATACTGTATAATTTATTTAACCTTCACCCTTTTGCAGTAAATGGATGCTTATCCTCAGATGTTGACCCCTAAAATCACAGGAGATCAAAAATAGCCCACATTGGATAGCATTATCAGGTACTTTGAACTTATTGAGATGCCCTTACTAACTGGAGGTGGAAGAGCCATCAATATATGAATCTGTCTCATGCAGTGGTGTATTTAGGTTTTGTGCTGCCCTAGGCAACACAAAAATTTGCACCCCCCCCCCCGCAGAAAGAGCCAGACATTGACCAAGAACACCCCTGCATTCCACCTGAGCCTTCCACTACCACTGCCTTCCATACACCAGCCACCATCCCCCATGGTGAGAGAGAGAGAAAGACATTCACCTTCGCATCTCCGGACATCCCCAGGAACATGAATTGGGCTGTGCATACAACGTCATGAAACCCACAGCATCTCTCGGAACCCCACCAGGCCCCCATGCCGTGTGTGTCCCTTCTTCCAAGGGGCAGTGCTGCCCCCCCTGAAAAATGCCACCCTAGGCAAATGCCTTGTTTGCCTTGTGGTAAATACACTCCTATCTGTCTGAGTTCATACTGCCATGTAATCTGGTCACTCTGAATCTGACCTGGTGCTATTGGACCCCCAGAATATTTATAGAGAGCACCAGATATTTCTTCTGTTTATTTGTGAGTTTTTATAAACTATCAGGGAGAAAGTGAGGAGGTTGTGTTCTGACCATTAGAAAGGGATTGCTGTCTATCTTCTATTGTAGTGGCTCTATTTAAGGACAGATAATGCTATCCCATGTGGGCTGAATTTGGCCTCTTCTGATTAAGAGGTCAGCATCTCAGGGCAAACATCCATTTACTGCAAAAAAGTGGAGATGGAGGACATATTACGTTGCTGTTTTGCCAAAGAAGAAGACATAATTAATATCACTTCATATGACTCTCTGTGAGAAATTGGTGCACGGTTTGTGTTTGGATTGGTGGACTTTCCACAGTTTACTGTATATGTTTATTCATCTTTAAGGCATGGATTGATCATCACATCACATACTGCACTCTATAAAAATATATATATATTGGACTTTATGACAACAACATAGCAAAACCTCCTGCACAGGAGTGTGATTGCTAAACACCAATTATTCCTGCGTATCAGCATGTTAGCGGAAGATGAGGATACACCGCGCTCTGCTGCCCTCTCATGACTGGGGATGCCTCAATAGCTTACTATAGAAAATACAAAGAAGAGAGGGTGCACCAGCCCAGCGCATTATCCCAATATCACATTGATTAATACTTCAACATAATTGTATTCACAAATACTGTGATATCAAACCCATCAGAGAAACCAGCTCAATCTACTGCACATGCTCCTCAGCTTGGAAGGACACCACCTGGATCCTAGCTGACTTACGCATTTTGAATAGAGCACCCTGAGGAAGGGGGTGCTACCCACAAAACGTGTAAGCCAGGCAGGATCCAGGTGGTATTCTTTGATGCTGATGCTTACTCTGATGGGCTTTGATATCAGAATATAATGGACTGTTTTTGCATTTAGTTGTGTATGAATAAATAGTAATTTATATTTTATGTGTAATTTATCATTCACTTGGTTGTATCAGTTCACACGATGAAGTGCTGCACTGTTAAAGTGTTACTAAACCCAGGACCCTGCATTCACTATATCTGGTCTCCCACAGTACACAGAGCATGGAAGTGCAATTATTTTAGTAAATGTAAACTGCTAAATACCATTTCTCATCAGCAGTCAGAGCAGTCTTGTGACTTTTATCAGTGTTCAGCAGAGCACATTAAAGCTTGTAGGAGGAGTTTTCATTCTGCTCTAGGAGGATGCAGAACCCCTTACCTCTGTCTGGGCATTACTGAATGGCCCTGTGCTGTGCCAATGTTAAATCCAAGGATTCTAGACCTACTAAAGTTTCTTATTTGTCATTGAGAATTGCATCCCCAAGATAAACCAATCATCTGTCAGTATAGTATGAAGATTTATGGGAATATACAAGAAACCAGCTTTACATCATTTATTTGGGTACCCCTAAGGATGCAGTAACTCTAGGTGGAGGTCTATGGGCTATTTATTTTAATTTCCTGTAGTGCATAGTTATTGATTTTACAAATCAATAGTTATTGATTTTACAAATGCTCTTTAAAATAACTGGACAATCACAATGTCTGGCTATGCCTCTGGCTAAATTAATAAAAGTTACCTTTACAAGGGATAGAGCAGTGGTTCTCAACCTTTCTAATGCCGCGACCCCTTAATACAGTTCCTCATGTTGTGGTGACCCCCAACCATAAAATTATTTTCGTTGCTACTTTCATAACTGTAATTTTGCAGTGGGAGGAGTAGTGCCATGTCATTGGTGTCAGTGGGAGGAATAGTATGTCCCATCACTGATGTCAATGGGAGGAATAGTGCCCCACCATCATTGGTGTCAGTGGTAGGAATAGTGCCCCATCATTGGTGTCAGTGGGAGGAATAGTGCCCCATCATAGGTGTCAGTGGGGGGAATAGTGCCCCATCATTGGTGTCAGTGGGAGGAATAGTGCCCCATCATTGGTGTCAGTGGGAGGAATAGTGCCCCATCATTGGTGTCAGTGGGAGGAATAGTGCCCACCATCATAGGTGTCAGTGGGAAGAATAGTTCCCCATCATAGGTGTCAGTGGGAGGAATAGTGCCCCATCATAGGTGTCAGTGGGGGGAATAGTGCCCCATCATTGGTGTCAGTGGGAGGAATAGTGCCCCATCATAGGTGTCAGTGGGAGGAATAGTGCCCCATCATAGGTGTCAGTGGGAGGAATAGTGCCCCATCATAGGTGTCAGTGGGGGGAATAGTGCCCCATCATTGTGTCATGGGGGGAATAGTGCCCCATCATTGGTGTCAGTGGGGGAATAGTGCCCCATCATTGGTGTCAGTGGGGGGAATAGTGCCCCATCATTGGTGTCAGTGGGAGGAAAAGTGTCCCATCACTGGTATCAGTGGAAGGAATAGTGCCCCAACACTGGTGTCAGTGGGAGGAATAGTGCCCCATCACTGGTATCAGTGGAGGAATAGTGACCCATCATTGGTGTCAGTGGGAGGAATAGTGCCCCATCATTGGTATCAGTGTGAGGAATAGTGCCCCATCATTGGTGTCAGTGGGAGGAATAGTGCCCCATCATTGGTGTCAGTGGGAGGAATAGTGCCCCATCATTGGTGTCAGTGGGAGGAATAGTGCCCCATCATTGTATCAGTGGGAGGAATAGTGCCCCATCGTTGGTGTCAGTGGGAGGAATAGTGCCCCAACATTGGTGTCAGTGGGAGGAATAGTGCCCCATCGTTGGTGTCAGTGGGAGGAATAGTGCCCCATCGTTGGTGTCAGTGGGAGGAATAGTGCCCCATCGTTGGTGTCACTGGGAGGATAGTGCCCCATCGTTGGTGTCAGTGGGGGAGGAATAGTGTCCCATCGTTGGTGTCAGTGGGAGGAATAGTGCCCCATCATTGGTGTCAGTGGGGGGAATAGTGCCCCATCATTGGTGTCAGTGGGGGGAATAGTGCCCCATCATTGGTGTCAGTGGGGGAATAGTGCCCCATCATTGGTGTCAGTGGGGGGAATAGTGCCCCATCATTGGTGTCAGTGGGGGGAATATAGTGCCCCATCATTGGTGTCAGTGGGAGGAATAGTGCCCCATCACTGGTGTCAGTGGGAGGAATAGTGTCCCATCACTGATGTCAGTGGGAGGAAAAGTGTCCCATCACTGGTATCAGTGGGAAGAATAGTGCCCCAACACTGGTGTCAGTGGGAGGAATAGTGCCCCATCATTGGTATCAGTGGGAGGAATAGTGCCCCATCGTTGGTGTCAGTGGGAGGAATAGTGCCCCATCGTTGTGTGTCAGTGGGAGGAATAGTGCCCCATCGTTGGTGTCAGTGGGAGGAATAGTGCCCCATCGTTGGTATCAGTGGGAGGAATAGTGCCCCATCGTTGGTGTCAGTGGGAGGAATAGTGCCCCATCATTGGTGTCAGTGGGAGGAATAGTGCCCCATCGTTGGTGTCAGTGGGAGAATAGTGCCCCATCGTTGGTGTCAGTGGGAGGAATAGTGCCCCATCGTTGGTGTCAGTGGGGGGAGGAATAGTGCCCCATCATTGGTATTAGTGACACCAATGATTAGGCACTATTCCTCCCACTGACACCAATGATACTTACCTTGCTGACCCCTGCTCCAGCCTGGGCTCGCTCGCTCCCTCCCGCTCCCATGGTACAGACACTTACCGGTCAGATGTCTTCCTTCTCCGGCCGCTCTCCTCCTCTTCACTTGCTCAATCTTCGCGGTGCCGCTAGGCTCCTCCTGTCCAAGCTCCACCTCCTCGCCGGTGATTGGCCACCTGTGTGCCTCTCCTGAGCTACAGTTCCGGCGGCCAATCACCGACGAGGAAGGATTGATCCCGGGGGTGTGTCCAGATGACAGGGACGGCATGTCATCCCGCCCACACCTGGAGACGGATCAAGGAGTGGTGTCTCGGTTCCTAAGGCCATCGGAAATATGTGTTTTCCGATGGTCTTAGGCGACCCCTGGGAAAGTGTCGTTCGACCCCCAGGTTGAGAACCGCTGGGATAGAGCAACAACCTGTTAAGAGGTCATTACAGTTTCTCCTGTTTTTAACGGTTTATATGTAAAAGTTAAAAGTTGATATATATTCATATTTTTTTTTCATAATCCGAGTACATGACCTGTTTTGTAGCAGTAAGCCAGGGAGACAAAGGGAGAGTGAGAAGGGAGAGATCTAAAGAGAGAAGTGTGCTGACTCCCGGAAGACGAGACCAGGCCGCGGGAGGAAAGAAAAAAGAGGCAAGCTAACTCTGCCAATCGCTGACCTTACAGCATTTTCTAGAGAGCTAATCTGTCAGCAAATGAGGCGGGACCGGTGAGTGCATGGAGGCTCCATTGGAGGATCGAGAAATACTGCCAGAATTCGCCAGATGCCATCCCTTGGGTGAGAGAGTCTCAAGCATTACCATGGAAAGAGAACACTGAAACATGCTCCATCTTTATTTTCCTGCACACAGCTGTGGGCATTGTACACAGTTATTACAAGTTGTGGCCTAGTTCCTGTAGCCGCTATTGCTTGACCGGACTCAACACAGGATTATCATCAGACCTGATAGCAGGACAGGCATTCCACAGGCCAAACCATAGCTGTGTCACCACCATAATCAATTTATTCTTTTGAAGAGACCTTTTCCCATTGTGGCAATAGTCTTGCAGTCTAGAGAGGAGCTGCCCAGTCTCAACAATCACTTCTGCCAGTTTAACATCAATGATGTCAAAATCACATAGCGTGAATGTTTGTTCACATTAAGCGATAATGTGAATGGGGCCTCAGGGAAAACGTCCACTCACACTATCTTCAGATTTGAGCCTCCCCTACCTCGTGTGTGGTTCCTCACTCCCTGTCCTCTCCATTCCTTCTCTGGCCATGCAAGAGGTACAAAAGGATTAATTTTTTTTCATGAGGCCCTGTGGAGGCAAATAAGACAGAAAGGTAAATAAAGTTTATCTCTAGGGTGTTATTAGTGGTAAGTGTCCCTAATTACTGTTTCCTTGTTGGGGTGATATTCCTTCTGACCCTCATCAAGCAGTGTAGAGCATGTTTATCCGCCTACTGAATATAGATATGTCATGATGACCCAGCTCTTTAGTACTCTAGGAATTTGAAAAATCTTTATTTATTCACATCAGTTCTCAACCGAGGCAATTTTTCCTGTAAATTGAAACAGCAACATTATTATTCCATTTTGGAATCTTCAAATATATCAGTCGGGTAAACTTCAAGCAGTAACTGTAGATAGTAAGTGACTTTATCGAAGTATGGGATTTTCAGTTTGAAATGGACAAAGGGAATGTAGATGATGATGCTGCTGAACATAAACAGCAAAACATAAAAATACTGCACTTTTGGATTCTGTACAATGGGAACTAGGACCAGAAATGCCGACATTCCAACAACAATAAAGGCAAAAGGAAGGAAGACCTGAAAACAACACAAAAATATTGATTATTATATAAGTATATCCTCTATTTGGAGTCATCAAAGTCTTTATATAATAAAAGTCACATCATAAACAGCCCCTGCAACCATTTCTGCTCCAGATAGTTTGTTTTGTATCTGTTATTTTTATGTAGCTCTTCGTTTCTGGCCTTATGTTGTAGACAGAGCAAAATATGACTTAATTGTTATTTGTAAGTGTCTGGTCCTTGTTATCAATCACCGCTTAGCATAACCGCTTGCCCTCCAGAAGATTTACCCCCCTTCCTGACCAGGACAATTTTTGCTATTCAGTATTGCGCTATTTCAACTGGTAATTGCATGGTCATGAAATGCTGTACCAAAACAAAATATATGCCTTTTTTTTCACACAAATAGAACTTTACTTTGGTGGTATTTGATCACCACTGGGTTTTTTTATTTTTTTGTGATATGAATGAAAAAAAAATGAACATTTTGAAAAGAAAAGATTTTCTACTTTTGATTACAAAAAATATCCAATAAACTCAAATTTAGTCATATATTTAGGCCAAAATGTATTCTGCTACATTTCTTTGGTATAAAAAAATCCCAATAGTGTATATTAATTGGTTTGTGTTAAAGTTATTGCGTCTACAAACTATGGTATATATATTGTAATTTTACTTTC